GAAATTGCTGTTCTCTCTTAAAAAAGAGAACTATGATTGGATGCACATGTTCATGCTGTACTGTGTGCAGCAGTGCCGCATAAGACTCTTACAATTCATTTTAATTTGTATTTTCATTGCTGACCATTGTGTTTCCAAATTTAAAACTAGTTTCTTAACAACGTAATCCATTTCATCTGTTAGAGAGAGCCTACAGTGAGATTTGTAGTGAGGTTCAATGGCCATGCCTAAGGCTCTGAAACAAGGATTCAGTAGCCATTCCGACTACAGTCTTAAAAATCGCCAGCTGTATTTCCCTCTGTATGCAGATTCTTGTGTTGGAATTTGGAATACTGATTTCTTTTTCCATTCCAATCCTAGGACAACAAATAAAACTATTTATCACCAGTCTTCCTTGTAGTGATTGAGCCCTTTCATTTGTTGGTTTTCAAACTTGTATTACAAACGTCTGTACCACTAATCTGATATTTCAGATTTGTATTTACGTCCTTTTGGAATCACCAATTAGGCCTCTCTATAGAGGAGGGAATCACCAATCACCTTCAAAGCCCTGTGTACTAGCTCAGGAAGAATGAAGCCTAAGATAAACATCTGTATTACTCTACAAATGTGCCAGGTCTTCCTCCATTTATTCATTCTGTAAGTCCATCCCACTGTGCTGGCAAGAAAGCTAGCTAAGCTTTGGACAGAGGACAGATGCAGCTCTTACATTAACACCTTAACTTCACAAGTGACTGACAGACTATAAGGGACGACCGTGCCCGATACACCAAAACCCCAGTTCACTCAACCCTGGGGATTCTTGGCCAATTACACACCCTTGCTTTGGGGTCAAAAAGGAGTCACGACAAGGATCAACAATGTCAGGATTACAGTGTCTTTCTGTGCTCTGGCTGGTTGAACTACGTGGAACCCGGATTTCAGACTGTGTTTTTGTTTATTAGACATTCATGATCTTGAATGTTGTCAAAGACAGATGTGCTGTGAAGATTAAATGTCCATCTGCAGCTCTGAGGCAGGAAAGCTAGCCTGGCGTTAATCCCTCTGAATCTGATTTCCAGAAGCTGAAGGAAACAAGGCTCAGCAGGGCTCCTGTAGCTGCTGCAGAGTTGCTGTCCCACTGCCAGCACCACTACAACACTGCTGAAGAGCTCTGAGACACTGAAGCACTCCTCACCAGCGGGCATTTGCCAGCTCAAACAACATGGGCTTGGTAGAGGATTTTAGGGTCCTAACTGTAACGCAATTTAAAAGGTCAGGGTCTTAGAGCACTCAGTATATCCACAATTGTGATACAAAATATACTCAAATGCAATATAATTGTCATTTTTCACATTGTGTATGTCATTATCTTTAAATCAAATGTCATAAATTATAATGTATCACTAATTGCACTTCCGATGCAACTAGAATGCGTTTTGTATAAAAGCATGGAGTCTATATAATATTTTGTTCTGCTTATGTTTAAAATTATTTCTAGCATATTCTACATCAAACATAATGCATGCAAAAGTGGCTAGAAATATACAGTCTGAGACGGACGTGATCTGGGTGGCATGGTAGGTATCAATGCCAGCCATGTGTGTCTGTGTGTGGAGTTTTCAGATATTCCTCATGTATGTGTCGTTCTTCTTTTTCCTCCCAGCATCCACAGTCATACAGAGGTTTTGCTCCTTTAAATTGTGTCTAGCCTTTAAGAACAGGTGTAGCACCCCCTCCTTACATAAACCGCAGTCTGAGGTAGCTGTTTTACAGACAGTGACCTCATTTGGACATGATAAATGAAGGAAGAAAAATACATTATAAGCAGAGATCTTCTTAGG